ATGAAAAAAAAAAAAAAAAAAAAAAAGGCATATTTGTTCCCGCAATTCTGGTGTAAACGAGGACAGTTTGTTCCTATATTTTTAGAAACAAAATCGAAACACACTAAATTACTTACAAAATCTCATACAAATATCACAATCAAACTCGTATCGAACAAAAAACATGCAAAACTCGACCACAAACGCATTAAATACACCAAAACCAAACCTTTAGCATACATCCCATGAGGCATTCTAGGCCAAGGATGTTTTGTTTCAAACACATAACAAAAAACTAAAAAGAGTTAAAACAAAGAGCCAAGAAGGGTTTTAGCCACCACCATTATCACTCCCACCATAGTTATTGAAAGCATCTCTTGGGATAAAATGATGGTTCTTCCGACCACCTTGATCTGGATAACGACCAACATGGCCAGCCTTGCCATCTTCATTCAGCCGCCATTTTAGTTGCTTTGCATCAGCTGCAGGCAAGCAAGAGGAGCTCAAAACAAGCAAAACCCCAATAGCAAACCCAATCACCAATACGTTTCTTCTCATATTTTTCACAAAACCTTTGGCTTTGAAGCTCTGTGTTGCTTCAAAAATGGAATTGAAAAGACATTTTGTGAAGGTTTTGGAGTAATGGAAGGGGAGATGAATGGACTAAGTATTTGAAGAAGAGGGTTTTAGGGTTTTTTGAGTTGAGATTATGGAAATGGGATTGCCACCAACTTAGACAAAACTAAGTGCCTTCCCCATATTGCTTTAAAAAAGTTGTCTTTTCAATTCCATTTTAATGATGGAAATTATTTTCTCATTTGGAAGATAAATACGAAAATTCCACTATATAAATTTAATATCATGTATTCATCTTTTTAAATAGGAGAATTCCACCAATAAGTTTAATATATATTATTAATTATAAATATAATATAAGATAAATTAGGTTTTTGTTTAGGTTACCCGCTCGAATTTTAAGTCTTTGGAATCTGATTTGACACTTGATGTTCCCGACATTCCCCTTAATCTTCTGTGACATGGTCACGTTACTCATTTCTCGCATTTAAAGAGTAAAAACTATCTCCACAAACCAACACGAGTTCTTTCAGCATGTTTTGTTTTCACTTATATACATCCCAGAAAAATTTCTTGGAGATCACCCATGTAGAATTACTCCCAATAATACACGTTTAACCATGAAATGTCGCATTATAAGTCTACTACAACAATTAACCAATTCTCGGCATAAGCATGCCTCGAATTTCTAAGACATAAGTCATCGACTAAGACGTCTCAGAACAAGAATTGCTATTCTAATTATAAAATTTAGCTTAAAGTAGATCTCATTTGTCAAATAATATACTAGTGGTATGTCATTGTTAATGATGTAATAATATAGTTATTAATCACTTATAAAAGCTAAAGACTTTGAACATGTAAATAACTCAAAGAACAAAGACAAATTAAACATTAGGAAGTCCCTCAGCTATCAACCAATGCACCCAAACAAGTTCAAACAACTATGAAAAACGAATATTCGTGTTCAAATATATTTTCTAATTCAAGGAAATTCGTGTAACTTATGCAATCATGAATATTTAAGAATTCGATCTTTTGAGATTGAATGTTCAAATTCTAATAATTACATTTGTTGGACTATAAAATATAATAGTTAATTGATAGGAGTGAATTGAGTCGAGTCGAGTGGAGTCGAGTCGTGACATTTTTTAGGTCCAACCCAAACGACTCTTCTAATATAATAAACTGTAACAACCCAGATCCACCGCTAGCAGATATTGTCATCTTTAGACTTTCCCTTTCGGGCTTCCCCTCAAGGCTTTAAAACACGTCTGTTAGGAGAAGACTTACTCGCCTTTATAAAGGGTGTTTTATTCTCCTCCCAAACCACCGTGGGACATCAGATAAACCTAATCCAATTCATCAACCACAATTTTTTTTTGTGGGTTGTTTCGAGTTGTTTTAAAGTAAATTTATGTATATACCATTGTATAGTAAGAAAAAATATATTTTTAAGCTTAACAATAAATTCGATGCGAAATTCTATTCCCGAAAATTATGAATACTTCTTTTCGTCAATCTTTGGTTGAGTACATGTTCATATCCAATTTTTAGGAGAGAAAAAATAAACAATTATCTTATTCCATCAGTTTCTCGTTAAGATCTGATCGAACCCCAAATACGAGAGAGCTCGAAGTAATATATAGGATATAAAACAACTCTATAAACCATAACGTAAATACACATGGTGCATGCATCCTTCATTATTAACCTACAAATATATATTACATACCAAACATCCTCGTTAGATACCATCTTTCTAAGCCAACCCTAGCCAGCCAGAAAAATGGGTATTAAACTTATACAAAACATGAACAAAAACATACATGCATAAACAAACATATATATATATATATATATATGTTGAGAAAAGAAGCACTATTCCCTTGTCTCCTTTCTGTTACTCCAACAATTATAGTCACTTCTATAGCATCCATGGTGATTGTATTCATTAGTTTCATAGTGCTTTTTGGGTTCCAAGTTTTGGTTCTCATCCCTTTGTTGTTGCAACTTCAAGTGCCTTCCATCAGCAACAAACAAAGTGTTGATAATCATGAACAACATCACTACGCCAACCGCTACACGTCTCATCTTCATCTTCTCAGCTGCAAAAAAGAATCACATAAAGTTCAAAGCTTTATGGGTTGTGCATGAATTGTAATCAAAAGAAGGGGAAAACAATGAATAATTTACTATTTTGAAGCTTGTCTTTGAGAGTGAATGTTTGTGTTGGTGAAGGAAGGAGTGTTTGTATTGCTTTATATGAGTTGTTTTTAGTGGCAAAGGTTAAGTGGGTCGGCCACAAATCTTAGGATTTGTCTTTTGAAATTGATTTGAATGATTGAGTTGAGAAAATTTTGTGTTTTTCATCTGTGTTCATAGTTGAGTTCCTGTGAGATTACCCATCCCGGAAATTCTACATTGTTGTTTTGATCTTTGTTCATCACAATTGGGTTTAAATGGGAGATCACAATTGGGTTTAAATGGGAGACCATAGGATCCACCGCTATTGTCTCTTTGGGCTTTCCCTTTCGGGCTTCTCTAAAACGCGTCTGCCAGAGGAAGGTTTTCACACCCTTATAAATGGTGTTTTGTTCTCCTCCCCAACCAATGTGGGAGGTCACAATCCACCCCTCTTCGGGGCCCAACGTCCTTACTGGCACACCTCCTTCGGGGAACAGTGAGAAGGCTGACACATCGTCCAGTGTCTAGCTCTGATACCATTTGTAACGGCCCAGATCCACCGCTAGTAGATATTGTTCTCTTTGGGCTTTCCCTCCAGGCTTTAAAACGCGTCACGCCCTTATAAATGGTGTTTTGTTCTCCTCTCCAACCAATGTGGAACATCACATTTGTGCATTGTGATTCCAACATTCCTGGTAGGAACTAGGAAGATGTTCCATGGTTACTGTAACATACAAGTAAAGGAAGAGTACATGAATAAACCGATATTACATTCGAATGAGAGTAATCCTGAGAATAGAATGGTTAAGAAAAACCTAAAAAAAATTGAAAGTCACTCCTTATACCAACAATGTATACTTTCCTTTTCTGTGGCTTAAGCATAAAAATTCTATATTTAAACGTGTTTTGCTCAAAGTAATTCTATGTTGGGTGACCTCTTGAAAATTAACTTCCAAATATCAAAATCCTATAACTTGGGATGAACAAAAAAAAAAAAAAAACATATGATCCCTCAAATACAAGGAAGAAACACGATTCCCCTCTCGAAATAACACGATGTTACGCCAATAAACTCACTTACTAATCCTACGGATCGAATCGAGGTAAGTGATAAAGAATTGACAATAATTTGAACACTTAGTAATCCTATGAAAAGAATAGTATAAATGTAGGGGTAATGTCGTGATTAAAGTGAAAGGATGTTGGAGGTGCGTCCAACATGGTTGTTGTGCATCATCGTTGGCTACAATGATAGGCGCTATTAAAAGGTGGGGTGCCAAATCATTATTGGTGACCCAATAATCTCTAATGGATTTGATATCAATGCCACTCTAAATAGGGAAAATCAGGTACAAACCCTAAACCACTTATGCTTTTCTCATCAGGTTTTGCACTCTAATGCCATGTGTTGGGAGAAACATAATTCATGAAAGGTCGAGTAAAAACGGGACATTATAAGATTCCTCAAACTCGAGTTACAATCTAATCCTTCAAAATTTTATATCTGTTACGACCCACACATCATGATATAAATTGTAACGATCCATGTCCAGGAGTCGGAATTTGGATTCAGCACTTGATCATGTTACTTACTCTTTACTTTTTAAGAGTGAAGACTATTCTCACCGACCAACATGAGTCTTTCCAGCATACTTTGTTCTCACTCACATGCATTCTAGGAAAATTCATCGGGAAGTCACCCAACATAGAATTGCTCCAAGTATAGCACGTTTAACCATGAAGCTCGTATGATTGAGCTACTGAAAAGAAAAGTGTACCTTGTTGATGTAGGAAGTAACTTTTATTTTTTTAAAGTTTTTTTAGTCATTTTATTCTTAGTATCGCTCTCGTTTAGATGTGGTCTCAAACAATACTAAAGACAGTTGAAATTTATCGAGTCCTTTATCGTTCATAAAAGTTATTTAAATTGAGTCACTACTCATATGTTGTGATGACACTTTCTCAGATAAACTTTTTAGTATTGAAAAGTGTAGAGTCGATATCTCATCCATAAGAGTTGATGAAAAGAGGATGCTTCTTTTTCCAAGTTGAAGACACGTCTAGCTGGTTAGTGGTTTTTGAAATTTGCTCAAGTTGACATATTGGTTGACTTCATAAAGTCTTAAAAAGAACAACTTTGATCAATTGCTTTCAAGATGATATGTCCTAAGATATAATATCATAGCCTACGATATTGACATTTTTGAACTATTTTTTTAACAATCAAACTCACCGCTAGTAGATATTGTTCGTTTTGGCTCGTTACGTATTGTTGTCAGCCTCACGATTTACGCATTTGTTAGGGAGAAGTTTTCACACCCTTATAAGGAATGTTTTGTTCCCCTCTCCAACTGATGTGAGATCTTGCTTGCACACCGCTAATGTCGGGCTCTAATACCATTTGCAACAGCCCAAGCTTACCATTAACAGATATTGTCCGCTTTAGCCTACTACGTATCGACGTCAACCTCACGATTTTAAAATGTGTATGTTAGGGAGAGATTTCCAAATTCTTACAAAGTGTTTCGTTCTCCTCTCCAATCGTCGTGAGATCACGGTCTACTTTATTTAAATTCTAGAAAAGTGAGCAATAGAGTTATGTAGAAAATATTCCAAGATTCAAATAATTGTGGGTTTTAGAGTGATGTGTGGTATTTTCCACTGAATGAGGCAGCCATAAGTGGGGTGTCTGTACACTTTCAAAAAGGAATTACCTTTAGATATCATTCTACGAGTAAATGAGATACACGTAAATGAATTAAGACAACATTCGAACCAGAGCAATCTTTAAAATATGGTAGTCAAAATATATTTACAAGAAATGATAGTTACTATCCATATTAGTCTCTAATTTGTTTCGGTTACTCGAACAATCCACATATCTTCTAGGACACCCATGTGGCAGCTGCTGCTCGTGTTTATTGGCCAGTCGTCCGACCCTTGTATGAGACGTTCCTTCAATTAGCACGGTCGAGCTGATCAGCACATAACTTTGTTCTATTGAGCTGGTGGACTGTTTATATAGCACATAACTGGCCATTCTTAATTGGGGTTTTTTGTTCTTCATCAAATCAGGCAAAGATTAAGTGGGTTGCCCCCAAATTCTTAAAGAAATATTTTAAAATGGATTGAAATGATGAACATGAAGAATAGTTGTATCATTTTTGGTGAAATAGAAGGCTTAGGGTTAAAGTTGAGTACACTTGGTTAGCTCCGTAGTGTTGAACACAGGTGGTTGCCTTGTAACGATCATGGTCTATGACATCTGGAATATCTTGGTAGGGCTATCAAAATCTAAGCCACATTATGGTTTAGGGCGAGTGGCTATTGAAGAGGTGCAAAGTGCTTTAATGAGTGCCTATGTATTAAGGAAGGATCCATGTTAGTCGAGTTTTAGCATGCATCGAGTGTTCTTAACCTATTTCCAATGACGTTATAACGACGTAAAAAGAGATAAGTTTTTTCGATGTGACTCGTGTCATTGTGAGTTCTTAACCTTTCTCAACATTGCTTTAACGACGCTGGGAGAGGTGTGAAATTCTCGATAGGATATGTTTTGCAGACGCTCAGTGTCGGACGTGTGAGATTCTACATTAGTTGAAGAGGCGAACCAAACATTCCTTGGAAGGATGTGGAAACATCTCTTTAGTAGATGTGTTTTAAAATCGTGAGGCTGACGGCGATACGTAATGGGTCAAAGTGAACAATATCTCCTAGTGGTGAGTTTGGACTGTTACGAATGGTATCGAGCCAGATAACGGATGGTATGTCAGCAAGGAAGTTGGGTCCCCAAAGGGAGTGGATTGTGAGATACTACATTGGTTGGACGGGGGAACGAATCACTGCTTGCAAATGTGTGAAGATCTCTCCTTAGGAAACACGTTTTAAAACCATGAGACTGACGACGATATGTAACGTGACAAAACAGACAATATTTGCTAGCGGCGGGTTTAGGGTTTTGCCCACACATTTTGGGCTTCTATCCACCGGTTCTCAAATCCTTGTCTAGCTACAAATCTAGCACTATAACAACAGATAGATCCATTTTGGCTTACATTTTGTTAAAAAAAACTCATTTACAACCAATGACATTCACGAGGGAAACGAACTGATATCCATTTTGGCTTATCGACCGATTGCTGCAATGTTACACTCGAGTAAACAACAAAGTATATGAATGAACTCATATCCTATTTGAACGAGAGTGATCCTGTGTCACGACTCGATTTTCGAAGATTCGAAACTCGGATTGTGACCCACAAGAAGAAATAAAAAAGAAAAGAAAAATAAATAAAAATAAAGAATTTAAAAGAAAAGAAAGAAATAATAAAAGATGCAAATCCATTAAAGACTTAAAACGGAGGAAAGAGAAGTTAAATTTCAAATAATATAAACGGAGTACAAATTTTAAAATAGGAAATACAAATATGAAAGGAATACACAAAGACTCCAAAAGACCAAAAAAGGACTGACGTTCCCGAATGACCCCTGTGACCGCACAGCTCTCGAACGCTTCTCCACCTCGACCGACACCTAAAAAAAAGGTAGAAAGGAATGAGTATAAAAATTATACTCAATAGGCCACCTACTTGTGGGCTCTCATCGCATCCTAAACTTAACACGGTCTTCTAATTGGCTCAAGGATGCCTGGTTCTAGTTTTAGTCCCTCTGGGGCTCGCTCATTGAGACTTGTTCTTTGGAGCTTTATTGGTTCTCCGTCCTTTCATTTGATACCTAAGAGTTTCTTATGCTAAGCTGGACTGACCGGTATCTCTCTACGAGGCGCTACCTTTACATGGCTAATTGAGACTACATGATATCTTGCTTAGGGGTGTGTTGAATACCTCCTAAGCCCATAATAGTCCTCTTGAGGGGCGCGACCCAACCCGTTCCCATGCAGCTAATGGGCTATACTACGTGGGGACACATTTCCCATGCGAAATGGCTAGGAGCAATAAGAACTGATCAGGACCTCTAGTCCTCCCACGAAACTATAGACACCGTTCGGTCAACTAGCAGTCTAAGAACACTCATAAGATACTTCTTCGCTTGATAATCTATTAGGTTCCTAGAGGAAGGTTTATCTACACTGAGTGACTTGTCACTCCTAACTACAATTCCCTACGTTTATCATAGTAATGGGTCATGGAAACTACAATTCCCTAGGCTTATCATAGTAATGGGTCATGGAAAATAATAGAGCGATGTGCATACTAATTCATGCAAATTAGATGTGCATACTTAATGGGGCGATGACCTCCATCATGGACTCGGAAAGCGGAGTTTATGCTCAACGGGGCGATGTCATCCCTCAAGTACCCGAAACATGGAGTTCACTATTTCAACATGAATTAAACATATGCATATAGCGGAAGTTTAAAGCATACAAGCAACACCTAGATAATTCACCAAATATGCTCATAACAATCAATCTGCCTAATCTCATTTATGGAAAACTAATCTAAGCCAAATGTACTAGCATGCATGCAATTCAAACGAATCCTACAAGTATTTCTTCCTCTTCCTAAATACCTGGTGGTGACTTACTTGGTTGACGTGTGCCCCTTCGCTAGCGTTTTCCATGCCCGTAAGGTGTCCAAAAATACTGATTTTCTCCAATTAGGTCCCTATTCGCATAAAAACATCTTTAGAAATGGAATCGGGGCAGAAATCGGGCAAACAGAAGTTGGACGGACGGAAAACAGAAACTCACGCGCTCCCACGTGCCGCCACGTGCCCATACAAAGTCTAGTCGCAGGTGTCACGTGCGGGTTGGATTCTGCAGTCGCGGTTCACTGAGTTGGTTTGACACATGACTCGCCAAAATTTTTTCTCTCTCCTCCATTCTTAAAAATCGGCTCGAATCTTTGCCTTCGGACCAGATTCTCAGCTAGTTTCTTTCATGAATCTTGTGCAGAATTCCTCTAGACGAACCTATCAAAATTTCAGATCTTGATTCACAACAGAGTTCTAGATTTGAGAAAAACAATCAAGATCTTACCTTGCCGATTTTCTCAATCTCTTGACTGAAAATCGGACTCTGAACGCCAACATCTTCTTTTTCCTTCCAAGAAGAAGTCCTTATCATTAGATCGTGGCTAGCTGCGACTTCCAGCTCCGATGAGTTTTCAAATGATTCTTTCTTTCTTCTCTCTAGGTTTTCTCTCTACTCTCTCTTCCTCCCTTTTCCTCTTTTCTCACACAATTGCTAGGATTTTGGACCGCTAGAAGGGCAAAATTACCTATTTGCCCCTTTGTTACTTACATTTTTTTTTTCTTTTTCTTTTTTTCCTCGAGTGCTACGTCTAGATGATAGGATGACAGGGAATTTTTAAAGGAGCGGAAAGTTACTATCTTCAATAACTTCTAGGTTTAAACAATTGGCTACCAATTCAAATCGATTAATGTATGATAACCATTCATATCATAATCAACTCAAATCAGTTAACATCCAAAATTTAATACAACAAGAATTCTTTTATTATTGAGTTTATTATAAATTTCATAACATGTGTTAACATATAAAAAAATTAAGATATGGCATGATAGCCATGGTGTTTGGAATGAAAAATACAATAAATATTTATTCCATATAGTAGATGCAATCAATTCTCCACGATTAGTTTTTTATTCGAAGTTGAATCTTTCGATCATTGAGAGGTTGCAGAGGTCTTGCATTAGTGTCCGAGTCCTGCATATATAAAGGATGCATTAGACAAAATCCAAAGAAGAACAAAAAAAAAACATTATCGTATGAAAAACAATCACACTTACATCATGAACAGCCACACGAAGCAACTTCACTTGTTCGGGTGCAACCGTCCTAATCTGAAAAATATACGATAGTGATCATTTAACCATAGAAAATACAATTCCGAGTAAAATTGAGATCAAAGACGTAGAAGTTCAATTAAAAAATACCTCTCTCACTATCGTCCAAAGGACATTTTGAGAACAGGGAGGAACGGTAAGAGAGCCGATATATCGATAATATAAACTGCTTTGCATCTTTAACAACGATGGATCGATCACATTCAATTGATCGTATTCCCTTGAATTCGATATATCTTCCAAATACTCTTCCAACTAAAAAAAAAATGAAAGGGAAATGAGTTCCAAAGACAAACATGTAGAAGAACAAACCTTAATTTTGAAACAATGGTTAAGGTTTTGAGGGTTACTTTGGACAAGAAATGGTCTGGTCGTCCGATGTTGTAGAGAAGTCCAATGACAGCAACTTTTCCAGTTCGGCTTTGGTGCACCAAATGAGCTTCTAAGGCAAACCTTCTTCCATTGATGGTGTGCTCAGAGGGTGAGTGCCAATGACATTGTCTTAGAAAGTATCGAGTTCCATTGACATTTATAGATCCAGCTCCACCACTCCATTTCAGCTGCAACCATCACAACAAGTAGTTCAAATTAGGTTAAATTACATAAAGTTTTAACGTATCATTCTCGAGGTATAAAATTAGATCAAATTAGTGTTCGTTCTTTATCGTAAACCTAATTGTAAATTATCATATAACTTAGGAGTGTTCGTGGGTTGGGTCGGGTCGGGTCGGGTCGGACTGAGACATCTTCAATCCAATCTAACCATAAATTTTTTGGGTTGGTGTGGTTCGGAGTCATTAACCAACCCAATTTATAAAAAAATTTATTCATTCGAATCAAACCCAACTCAAATCGAACAAATTGGGTTTGATTGACCAGGGTTTAATATATCTAAGCCAAAAATTAATAGGAAGAGGTTTCCACACACTTATACGAATGTTTTGTTCCCTTTCCAACCGATGTAGGATCTTACAATCCACCCTCTTTAGGGGTCTAGCGTCCTCGCGGGCACACCAACCGGTGTCTATCTCTGATATCATTTGTAACCTTCAAGCGCATGGATAGCCTATATTGTCCTCTTTGGGCTTTCTCTCATGGGTTTCTCCTCAAGATTTTAAAACCCATCTACCAGGAGAGAGGTTTCAACACTCTTATAAATGAACGTTTCGTCTTCCTCTCCAACTGACATGGGATGTCACGAAAATGAAAGAAAATATTGTTTTGGTTACCATGATATCATGACCTCTGTTCTTGAGAGTTGCATTGGAGGGTTTATAGTCGATCTTGAGGTTGGTAAAATGGGACACAATTCGGACTCTCTTGTGCAACAAATCAATAGGAGATTGCATCAACCCAGTCTTACAGCCATGCCATTCTCGTTTAAGATCTCCCCAATGAGTAGGCCCTCTATTTCCTTCAGCGTCATAATCAAACTCCTTCTGATCTTCTGCTCCCAATCAAAACAACAAAACAAAATATATTAACTTTGATCTAAAAAACTCATGTATTTATAGAAGTAACATCTACAGATATGATCTATTCAATCATAGATTCTCCTTAATTCATAGCAACAAACAAGTAAATTAGTAGATTATCTTACTATGTACAGATATGATCTATTCTACGTTTAACGAACATAAACACGAAGAAATAGAGAAATAAAAGATGATTTAATGGGTTCCCTACCAACTTCTTGACACATTACAGGCCACGAAACCAGAAGAAACCCACATAAAAATGAGCCAAAAATGACGTGAAATGGGAGCTTCTCCATCTTTAAAACCTTTGGGTTCTTCTTTAGCTAAGCAATTTGGCTGTGGTTTGTGGTGATTTTAGAACAAAAACTAGGTATTTATAAGCATCAAACATACAAATTTGAAGCTTCTTTGTTTCTTCCTTCGTCTATTTCAACTTAAGTTTGAAAAAAATGGAGAATGCCAATGAATTCTTCCCAATCTCATCTCCATACATAATTAATGGATATTGGAAACAAAATGTTGGCGTACACTTTCTTTTACAACTTCATAGGTGGCCCATTCCCGCTCGTATTTAATAAATCTGTCAACTTTCGAAAATGAAATTAATCGATTGTCATTCTTTTAAGTGGCGGGGAAATTTAATTCGGAATATAATAAACCAATCTAACGTACGTAATGACTCATGCCCAACATTCGAACTACGTTACTTAACAATTCTTCGAGCATGTTCTGTCTTCACTCACATGCCTCCTAAGAAAATCATAGAGTTCTTATGATAAAGCCACTTGTCACAATTGCACTTTTAATGACAGCGGACTTGCGATTGTGTGGCACTCACTTTCCAACGACAAGTGAGTTAAGCCAATTCGTTTTTCCGTCACCTATGGCCAAGCGACGTATGCTCGAGCCTCTAGCCTCAGTTTTAAGAGAAGGTTTTAGAAAACGAGGGCAGAGGGAGATTTTTGAAAGAGACGTCATATAAGCAAACAAGAGAGAAATAACAACGAAATGACAAGGAATAAGTAACGTCATTACCTGAAAAATGAAATGAGCAGATCTGAAAGCTCGTGAGACCCTGATTCATCACCATATCTATAACTTCGTTAGTCTGAACACCTTTGTCACATGTCTCGTAAGTTTATGCATCATCTAAAAACGAAAAACAAAAATAAAATCGAAAAGGAATGAATATTAATTTTAAAATACTTGTTTTTATGTTTGAAATTGAAAATATTTAACAAAATTTGCAATCATTATCAAAGAATTTAAAATAAGTGGAGTTGGGTCCATACTCTAATTTTGATTATCAAGTAATTCTCAATAGAAATTAATTACATCATAGTGATATAAATTTCCAAGAAATTTCCTCCTCCATGGAAATTGCTCAACACGTCACCATCTCTCTCAATGACTATTTGTTTGGTGAAAACATAAACTATAATTTTTATTTATTTATTTATTAAATTTGGATCGTTCACGAAACTTATTTTAAGATCAAATAAATGTCTTAATTTTTTTATAATAAGATACTCGAGTATTTTAGATACCTCGATAGGTTTTTATGATTATTGTGTTCGAGGACATTCTTAAATGACATATTTGTCCTTCGTTTTTTTAATTCTTATTAATTAATTTCTCTAATTTTATTTTATGCTAAAAAATTAATTTAATATATTCATTTACTGATTACCAATTTAAGCATTTCTCAATGAATAAAATATTAATTATTATTTTGCGTAGAATTTAGCTACGTTCATTTCTCAATCTCTCGAGAAATTACCTCGAAATTGCCATCTCCACATATCTCCCCCTCCATCACTCTCCTTCTCTCCCATTTTCTCTCTATCCTTTTCGCCATGTTTCCACCCTCTTTCTCATTTCTACGAATTTTAAATGAGAAAAACTATTCTCACAGATCAACACGAGTGTTTGTAACAAACTTTCCTCCCTCATATTCATGTTAAGGAAAATTTCTGAGTGTAATTCAGAATTGCTCCAAGTAATGTACGTTTAAGTATTAAATTTCTGTGATTGAGTCACGGAGAAGAAACGTGGACCTTGTTAGTATAGGTACTGACTTTATATCTTTTTAAGCCTTTTTTTAGTTTTCATACTTTCAAGATCGCTCTCATTCAAATGTGGTATCCGTTTATTCATGTTTGCCTCTTTTACTCGAGTGTCGCATCAAAACACTTGATAACTCAAAAAATTCAATCAACCCAACTTAAGTCGTATGGTTTGAATTTGATTACAAAATTATTTGGATTTGATTGAGTTCAAATAATGAACCGTTTATAAGTTGAGTTGGTTTATAGGTTTCCCTACAACTAGATTAGGTTAAACCGAAATATATATATATATATAATTTCATAATCATTTTTTATTCTTTATTCTCCAAATAACTCTTAAAAATAATTTTTTAATATATTATATATTTAAATTGAGTTGTAAATCTTTTTGAAAATAAATCTATAGATATTTTACTTTTATTAAAAACAAAAAACGTTAATATACATCTGAAGAACTCAAACCAACTAAACCAAAAAAAAATTATTGTTGGGTTGAATTGAGTTCGTTTATTTAATAAGAGTTATTTTGGTTGAAAAAAAAAAACTGACAACAGAAACAATTAGATTGGGTCTAAAAAAATGTCTCGACCAAACTCGACTCAACTCAAGAACATTCTTAAAATTCATGAAAATTGCCTCTTAAACAAAGAGAGAGAAAACGATAGACATACAAAAGTTACCATAGATTTGAATAGAAAAATGGTCGTATTAATTATATAAAATTGATTAATTAAACTCTTTAATTAATTAAT